ATATGAAATTAAACTAAATATATAACAATTACCTCACTTTCTAAGATTTCGAACTAAGTTTGGGCGGAGAGATTGCAAACGTAGTTATTATACTTCAATATGTTGATTAATTTCAAAAGGAAGAAGCAAAGATTAGGGGGTGAAGCTTTAACATTTGTCAGTCCTTGTAACTGAAACTATTCTAATCGCAATTTGTAAATCATGCATAACAAGTTCATAACAACTTTAAAAGCAACTCATGGGCCTATTATAATATCATCATCATTAGGAGGGAAGATGGTTCAAAACAAATTGAATATTACGGCTACTTAGTGCGAGAGAAGTTATTAGCGAAAAATTAAGAATTACTGGGCCATCTAAATAAAAAAGAACTTCCTATATGTATACTTGCTTGCATCAGTTACAAAGATGAAATGTAAAATGTAAGCTGATATCAACATATACTAAAATTAGAAAACAACAATCTTTAGAACTTGCTAGTTTTTATGTCAAAAAAATTTATTGTTCGTTTAAGACTCGGGGGATTGCACACATTAAGAACCCATTAATTGAATATAGTATTTGTAGGAATGATTCCTCTTTATTTATAATCAACAAATTTGAAAATTCCAATCAAGTCTTTACTCCTAATAAAGATTCAGCATAAATAATGTTAAAATTATCACATATATATGTATAATTTGTTGGGGAAATTTTTTAACTCCAAAAGAAAAAAAAAATGAAAAAAAAAAGATCAAACATGTTACAACCAAACAAAGACACCGTTGCGACCGAGAAAAGTACATACAACCTTAACACAATCTCTATTGTAGTAAAAGAGTATATAAAGCAACACTAACCTGTTAATCTGAAACACTGAAGCACAATTTAGAAATTGCACAAAAAGGAAACAGAAGGACATAAAACCTTCAAGGAGAAGAACTGCAGAAGCTGAAACATCAAAGAAGAAACAAAAAAGAAGTGTGCATAAGCAGACCAAACAAAAGAGATGATTCAAAAAAGTACAATGAACAAACAATTGCAGAAAAAGAAAACAAATCGATGAAAACAACAAAGGAAAAATGAAAAACCTGCCAATTTGAAGCTTGAAGAATCTGAGTTGTAGAAGTTAGCTAAGAGAAGGCGATGGTTCACTTTTGATTTGTCTGATTTCAGTATATATGTAATGGCAATAGTACATACATGCAAATATAAAACCCTCCATGTGTTGAACGACCAATAAAGAGGGCCAGAAAGAGTCCTATAGGAAGTCTCAACTCCCCAATCCCCCAGGGTGAGGGGTGAACTTTCTGTCTGATTCAATCTCATCTATTAGGAAAGGAAAAATAGAGTTTTGTGTGTGACAATTTCCTTAACTGAACTCAAACAGCGAGAATATGTCCTGGACATGGTTAATGTGCATGAGGTTGGTTCTGCAAACAGAATGAGTTACTACATTCAAAATATCTCATAATTTTTTTTTATATAGATGGTGTATTGCATTATAAAAATGATTTTCGTCGCATAACTTTGATGGAAATAGAAAATTAAAATTATTTATATAATATACTTACTAATATGTGTTAATAATTGGTAACCTTAATGCAAGTTGTGTCGAATATGTCTTCTGCTTCCATGGAGATCATTTCTGTAATGATATATGTACATCTTCAAAAGGAAAATAAGAGTATTTGACTGACTGATTGTCGACAACGGTGATAAAGTTAGGTAGGGTCGAGGGATTCATCCAAACTACATACAACAGAAATTTATACTTCATACATGATAAAAAAAAGTTATACATATATAGTAGATGTTCAACACACCTTCTTCATGTTTTGAAGCACTTATTGGAAATCGTAGCAGAAAAATCTTGGCTCTGTCACGATCAATCAATAGCATTAAAAAGAAGAATCAACTACCAACTCTCACACGCACAAGCTTTCCCGAAACAATCGAGCTCCAAAATTCGCATTAATCACAAAGCAAACTAAAGAATATAACTTTCAAAGCAAAAATAATTAGAATTTTATTTTAAAAAAGAAAGTCTAAAATTTACCAAGAACACAACTTTTCATTTTAAGAATATGAACTAACATGTGTGTGCTTTAAAATATACCAAGTCGATCTCGTTTGCAACTACAAATGTAAACATATGCTTTCTCATTAGACTATTTCTGATATGCCTCTTCACAAAAGGCTAACTACATATAAATATCATAAATTTCCTATTCATTTTCATTACCTGCAAGTTTCATTGAATATTTGTTGAACTATAATCATTATTATTAGTTGGAATACTTTCCGATATGAAGCTTGAAAGTTACTTATCTATGTCCATGATAGGAAAATAAATTAAAATAATTTCAAGCAAGAAAACTCAACTGTGCAATCTCTGCTCCAACATGAGACCTCAACCTTAATACACAACAAAATGGGGATTTATGAGTTTAGAAGCAACTATTTCCCCTGCAATGCTAGGTCTAGCACTCAATGCGGGTTGCAATGACTTACAACATAAATTTGGTGCGTCCAACTTTCAGAAATTTTTGAATAAAATTTGAGCAAGAATTGTCGAAACACTCACCTGCAGTAATTTCGAATAGCTATTTCACAATCCCATGTCTCCTGGCAAATATAAAGTTCGAAAAACTTCAAACGATAATAAAGAGACATGCATGAAAAATGATGTGCAAACTATGAATACAAATCAATGAGAGAAGTACTAAATTAGTAATACAAAATAAGCTATGAAACTTTATGCACATTACCCTCCCTGATTCAATCTTCTCAATATAAAAGATCCATAAAATTTTTGAAAAAACCAACTAATTAAAATGAAAAAATCTAACATGTACAAAGATAATGATGAAGAGCTATCCGACCAACGTTGAAGAAGAACAGAGTTGGAGTGAAGAAATACATCAATTTTACATGAAAAACATATAACATACTGAGAGAAAAGAGAGAGAAGTCTAAGAAAAGATGAAATTGTGTTTTGAGTGGAAACTAAATGGCTTTCACAAAGACAAAGATGTAATATGCGGCAAAAGGAAAAGGAAGATGATGAAATAAAATTCATACACGTGGTTGAGAAAGAATATGAAGGAACAAAATGGGCCCAAATTTGTAGTACAATTTACTTTACTTTTGGTACAATTGGTTGATGCTGTGATAGTCTTTTTCTTTGTTCACTTATAAACAAGGGTAATATATGGGTTGTGGTCTGCCTGACCCCTCACCATGATGGTGGTTTTGTTAAAAAAGAAAAGAAAAAAGAATTTAAAGCTAGACAAATAAAATGAAATAGTGCCGGAAGAAGAGAGTAGTATATGCAACCTATCTAATTAGATAAAAATTTCTATCATATTTACTAATTCTCCCTATAGTTTGAAATACTTACATATTGTCTCGTTAATTAATAATTCATACCAAATTTCAAGTCAAATACACCTAGATATATGTACTTTTGCTACCAGTACACTAAAATAGAGAGAGAGGTGAAAGAAGGAGAGAGACGAGCGAGATAGGAGTGAAGCAAGATAAACATTGTATCATAGATACGTGTGAATCACACTACATACATGTATCTGGAATACTAATTACAGAGAGAGAAGCGAGCGAGAGAGGAGAGTTGCGAATGAGACAGAAGAGAGGCCAACGAGAGAGGCATATACATGCGAATTACTTGGATACGATGTATCTATGGCAAATTACACCTAATTTTGATAAATAGGTCGGGGTCTGCCCGACTCCTCACCATGATTGTGGTTTTGTTAAAAAAAGAAAAAGAAAAAGAAAAGAAGTTAAAACTAGACAAATAATATAAAATAGAGCCGGAAGAAGTGAGTAGTATATGCAACTTATTTAATTAGATAAAACATTTATATCATATTTACGAATTCTCCTTGTAGTTCGAAATACTTATGTATTGTATCATTAATTAATAATTTCATACCAGATTTTAAGTCAAATACACCTAGATATATGTATTTTTGCTACCAGTACACTAAAATATGAGAGAGGTGACCGAGAGAAGGAGAGAGACGAGCGAGATAGGAGGACAGCAAGCAAGATAGTCTATGTATCATAGATACATATGAATCACACTACATACATATTTCTGGAATACCAGTTATAGAGAGAAGCGAGCGAGAGAGGAGAGTTGCGAATGAGACAGGAGAGAGGCCAACAAGAGAGTCATATACATGCGAGTTACTTGGATACGATGTACCTATAACAAATTACACCTAATTTTGACTCAGTATATTCAAAATACATATATTTGGCACGCCAAATATATATGTATTTGAAGTCCAAATTCTCATAAGTTTCATAATGATGAAAAATGAAGGGAAAAAAAGATAATTAGGTACTAAATTAGATCGAGAAATTTCCGTGACCTATCTAACAAAATAGGGATCCACTTTCATGAGAAAAGCATTAGCACCGACGATGGCTTATATATGCATATGTGGCTGCAACTTAAGCTCACTATACTCCTCTGAGTATATATATGTATAATTTCAATTAATATTTAACTAAATATAAGATAGGATTGATTTCTCGTGTAATCACTCAATTAATAGTTATTATCTTAGATAATCATATTTTCATGTTATTCCAATTTTTTTAATTAAAAAATAACTTTCTGAAATATTAAATATTTAAACATGATTTTGTAGCCTAATTCATTATATATGTATTTTATCAATGAATCAGGTAAAATACTTCCATTAGCTTTTGCTGTAGTTGATTCAAAGAATGATGCATCATGGAAATGGTTTTTCGAAAGGATCCGAGAGACCTATGGCACAAGAGAAGGTATGTGTATCGTATCTGATAGGCATGAAAGCATTCTGAACGCAACTTCTGTTGTGTATCCAGGGGTGCCTCATTGTGTATGCTTATACCACCTTTGGGGCAATATTAAGAAAAATTTCAGGAAGCACCACAAGGTCCTGAGAAAAATATTTTTTGCAATGGCTAATGCATAAACAATAGAGGAATTCAATCAATACATGGCTGAGACTTATAGCATTGACGAGAGGGTGAAAGAATACTTATTCGATATTGGATATCACAGATGGTCTATTGCACACTCAAATGTTAATAGATTTATGGTGATGACTTCAAATATTGCCGAATCTGTGAATGCAGCTGATAAGGAGGCCAGAGATCTTCTTATATATGATTTGCTGGATTACTTGATGAAGATGATTGGTCGCTGGAACAATACAAATAGAAATGAAGCAATTGCAACAGGCACAACACTCAGCACAAAATATGAACACCTAATGAGGGAGAAAATGAAGGAATCACTGGGAATGATGGTATGTAATTTGTTTGTGATATATCATTTTTTATACATTGCATAAAAGTTGGTGTACTACCTCTAAAAATTATTTTTAAAATGTAGGTTGTCCCATCAACGGAATACTTGTATACAGTTTATGATGGAGGTAAACGTCATATAGTCAATATGCGTGAAAGGATATGCACATGTAGGCAATTTCAAATGGATGTTATGCCGTGTAAGCATGCTTTGGCTATTGTGAGAAAATACTACATGAGTGAATATGAATATTGCTCTGTATATTACAAGAAAGATAACCTATTAAACACATATGAAGTTCCAGTGTATCCAATTCCTGACGAGAGTATATGGGAAATTCCTCCGGATGTTGCAGCGGATATTGTCCTACCACCCAAAGGAAAAATCAAACCTGGCAGGCCACAAAAGATAAGGTACAAAAATGGTGGTGAATCAAGACCAAAGAAGTCAAGAATATGAAAAAATAAAATTAATATCAGTTCATCACTTAATTAAAATAAACAAAGAAATGTACTATTTCAAAAGTTAATCCATAATACCAACTTAACTATAAAAGATCAGTGACTCAGACACTCACAATGGTCAAGACTTAATTCCAATTCCTCTTAATTTCATAAGATATAAGCTAATTATTATAATGCTTTACATGATCAATTTTTTTCATTATTTCCGACGATTTAGATTCACTGGAAATATGTTTCTCTAGTTTCATCTTGCCATAATTCCACAGCAACGATCCAAACTTGATGCGATGTGTATTGACATCAAATTCATTGTCAAACACATTACTACCACATATGAATCTTTCCGCAAACAGAGCAATTTAGATTTTTGTGGTGCAACTTCAATAAATTTTCTCCTTTTGACGTTGACACTCCGACCTTGATCTTCAGGATCAAATGCAATAGATTTTCCTTTTTTGATCTCGTCCAACTTTCTCCTTCTTAGGTACTCCTTTGACCTCTCCTCCTTCAGTCGATTAACAACACTATGATCAACTGTCGGTAGTGGCAAAACACTACGACTTTGAATGTTACAACAGTTTGAATGGGACATAGGTGTTGGAGACAACAAACGAAAGTTAGGCTCACCAACGGGTGTTACCGTCTCGACAAATTCATCGTGTAGTTCCATTTCAGTTGATGAATCTTCCTTCGCCATTTCTAACTACTGTGTATAAAATAAACAATGTACATCAATTACTACCAAATATGAAGCTTACCGAAACTACGTACAAAAATAATCAAATGAAACTCAATAACATTGTCCCTATAAAATTCCTACCTGAACTATGTGAAAAAACAATAATGTAAGTTTATATCAGAAGAAATGCAAAATTTGATACCCAATAGTGGGAACCAACCGTACAAAATTTGATAACTACCCAATAGTGGGAACCAACCGTACTCTATTTTATTTAATAATTAATATATCTATATATATTAATAATAATTATTATTATTATCTTTTCAACTTCTTTTAACTGCTATATATGTGAAAAAAACTTTCATATTTGTAATATTGAAAAAGTACTATTATTTATGTAGTTAAGTCTTAAGGATGGTCTTTCCATGTAATTTTCCCATAAATGAATAGCAATTTTATCAATTCATTTTGAATTTTGCCAAAAAATCATAAAAGCCAAAAAAATGGCAATGAATCTCTGACATCTCTGATTCTGAATAGTCAATTCCGATGGCCTTATTATATGCACTAGACACAATGAGGCAGTGCAAGCACCGATCCAATATTTGCTACTTCGTTTGTCTCAATTTATGTAGGTAATTTATATAATTTTTAAATAATATATGTTATTTTTTTTGTTTCAATTTATGTAGCACATGTGAAATTTCAAGAGTTAATCACATTTTAATATGTTTTTCAAATATTTTAAGTTGTTAATTATTGTGATTTATAGAACTTTTAATGTAATTTTCAAATAATATATATTACTCACTCAATCTCAATACATATGAAATTTCGAGAGTTGATTGAATTCTTAGTACTATTTACATAATTTTCAAATAATATATGTTACTCACACAATTCTAATTACGCAATACATGTGAAATTTTGAGAATTAATCGAATTTTTAATATAATTTTGAATTTTGAATTATAATAATTTTAATATTTTTTTTAAAAAAAATTCAACATTAATTAGAGGTAGTTTTTGTGTTTTATCTTTATTTATATTTTCAGGATATAAGCTCTCTTCATTAAATATTTACCTACTCTATTGAGGTATTTATAATCTTCAAAAAAAATTACTATTAAAACTAAAATAGAAGAAACATAATTAATTTAATCTTGAACATCCAAAATGAAACAAAAAAATAAAAATAATTATTTTATAAACTACGATAGATAATTTGAGATGGAAAGAGATTATTAATATAATATTTAAATGTTTTTTTTTTATAGAACGTCTAAAGCACATGACCTGAAATAAATTTACTAATTATATGACAAAAATATGTTTTCAATTAATAGAATTAGCCTATAAAATTTCTTTTCCTTCTATATATGTACAACATATTTTTGTTTCCAATAGCCTTATTATATGCTTATATGTGTGAAGAAACCGCAGAAAAATAATTCAATCTCAGTACCACAGAAATATAATTGAAGTTCTTTCACCTATGCCACAAATAGAATTCATTTGGTACAACTAGCACAAGTGACCATTATTTATAAATATCTTACCCAAAATTTAAAAAAAAAACATCAAAACTTATAGCTAAAAATCGTACTCCCTTTGTCTCAATTTTTATGTGACACTTTTCATTTTTTGAGACTCAAACAGTTTAAGTTTGATCAGAAATTTGTGCGTGAAATCTGAATTTTTTTGAATGAAATTTATATATTTGTAAACTAGGTAAAAAATAGTATGAGTCACAATAATTGGCAATTCAAAATAATTGAAAATATATAAAAAATTAACAATCAAAAATAAATTTATTTGAATCTCAAAATCCAAAAAGATGCCACATAAACTGAGACGGAGGGACACTGAGGCGTAAGAAATGTTATGTTACTATCATGGAGTTTAAATTTTATGTCTGTAATTACTTGTGCATACAACAATATCATGGTTCCAATAACTTTTCTAATTTTTAAAAAATTTCAGATATTAGAACTTGATCCAAATACTAGTTTTTTCAGTCTTTGGGAACTTGGGATATATATTTGGCAATATATTTGCCAATTAGTGGTAAGTTGTATGTCCAAACAACATTTGTCAAGCTTTTCCCAAATATGTTTGGGGCTAAACAAGTTGTAACACATTACGAATGTGCTAGTACTCCCTTTATGCATTTTATGTGACATCATTTAACTTAAAATGAAATTTAAGAAAAAAAAATTAATATATTTCAAGTCACTTTTTCTATACCATATAAATTATTAGAAATATAGATGTTTACAAAATAAAAAGATGGCTCTTACTCAAAGGCAGATGCAACATGCATGCAATATCTTATTTATTTGAACTATATACTTTTAATGCGGGATATAAATTTATATAATTTTAAAAATTAAAATAACAACATATAGCCGAAAATCACGATTTTGAAAGTACATGAGATTCAATACTAAAGACCTTAAAAATTAAGTTTATACTCACTTTGTCTCTAAATACTTGTCTAATTTTCTTTTTTTTATTTGTCCCTTTTTACTTGTTCATTTTGACAAATCAAGAAAAAACAGTTTTTTTACATATAATACCCGCAATTAATTAATGAAAAAGGTAGAACTTCTTGAAAATCTTAAATTTTTAATGCATCCACTTCATAATTAATAGGGTAAAATGGAAAACTCACTATGTCAATCATTGTTTTTTTAATAGGTGTGTTAATTCAAAAGTGGACAAGTAATCAGGGACAGAGGGAGTACAATTTAAATAAGAAAAACTACCTAACTAGATATACATTACTACCATATATACTTACTTTACCTTTAGTTTAAAAAAATTACACATATTACCATTTTTAATATTTATACCATATATTTTAAAAGATTTAATCATATACAAAAATTTCTTAAATATAGTATTGAATAATTATCTTAAAATTTAAACTCCTTAATTAATGATCCATTAACAATTCTAATTATTTCTATCACATCAGGGTTTCCTTCTCCCAATCCCATTACTCGACTAAATCTTTCACCCCTACCCCCCTACCCACGGCCCACGTCCTTCACTCACCTCCACCATCTTTCCCTCTTTCTTCATCCTCTCAATACATGTTTGCATATCCAAATTTGAAATCTGAATCTTGACAATCAACATTATACATAGAGATTTGTTACGCTTGTTTCATTATTCGCATGTAACTTGATTTTCATCCCTTTCATGTATCTGAGATAGAGTTCTTATTGTTATAAAGTTCAATTTTAAGAAGTTTGACAAATCTGATTTTACATTGTTTGATGTTGTTGTTTCTCAAACTACTTTTATGGCTGACCATTCACAAAATAGGATGTTTTTTGTTAAAGTTATAAAATTCAATTTTAATTTTTTTTACAAAATAGGTTTTACATTGTTTGATTTGTTGTTTCACAAACTACTTTAATGGCTGACCATTCACAAAATCGGATGATTTTTGTTAAAGTTATAAAGTTCAATTTTAATTTTTTTTACAAAATAGGTTTTACATTGTTTGATTTTGTTGTCTCACAAACTACTTTAATGGTTGGCCATTCACAAAATCGGATGATTCTTGTTAAATATACAATACATTAATAATAATATACCAAATGAAACACCTTTTATTTATTTATTTTCTTTCATGAATTTGTCATTACATGGTCTGACTCTACATCCGCCAACATTCAAGTCAAGAATAAAACTAAGTATAGGAACGAACTAATCATAATGGAAGAATTATGTCAAGCTTTACTTAACAAAATAGATACACTATTACACCCAGCTACACATCAAGTGCAACAATATCGATATATATTATTGTCTGAGATACACTCTATAAAACTAATATACATGATAAAAACGTCATTACTCTTACATCTAATTTCATTACTATTAAGAAGATATACATTATATATGTTTCTGAGATACATGATAACAACATTAAGGTACATGTCAACAAAATCATTAATCGTAAATCTAAGATCATTAATCTTAAAAAGATACTACAAAGAAGATAAAGTTTACAATTAGAGAATTATTATGGTTTATGATTTCGTTATTTTACGAAACTTTATTAGAGGTGTTACTGAAAAGATGATGTAACTCCATTTGAATTATTAATTATTCATCAATACTCCTTTCTTTAAGGAAATAAGTTACGCTCCTTAATTAAAACTAATAAATAATGTATCTCGACTTTTAAAACGGACAGATACATATATCTGGTGAGTAATGATACATATATCCAAAATTTAAAAATACAGTATAGAAAATAATATTCCAAACCATCAAAAAGAGAAATATAGTAGCCA